TGTCGAGCCGTTCGTAAGTTGAGACCCCACTGTATCATGTAAAAGAAAGAAAAAGGCCAACCATCTAGGAACCACCATTGATAGGTTTGTGGTTAAAAACCAGCAGATTAGAAAAAGAGTTAATTGGTTTTACAAATGCCCAGTTTGTTTATGTGGCAAACTCTTCTTTCCATCTGATTGAAAATTCACATTTTATTAATATGGTTCAGTCACTGAGCCCAGGATACAGTCCACCCAGCAGAGCAGATATTGCAGGCAAACTGCTGGATAAAGTGTATGACGGAGAAATTGGGAAATGTGAAACAGCTATAGAGGGTAAAATTGTTAAGCTAAGTCCTGATGGGTGGAGGAATGTCCACAATGATCCTGTTTTATGTGCCTGTATAACAGTAGAAGAAAAGAATGTCTTCCTTGCAGAAAAAATGGATACAGTACTTCAGGAAATACACACACTGCAGAGGAGTGTCAACAAAAGCAATCATAACACAACACGTGAACAAAAATTCAAATGTCTAGTACACAGTTTGGTCACAGAAATGCTGCAAATGTATCACAGACTGGAAGAAATTCAGAAGTTTACCACAAAATTTGCCAGCTAGTTGCCTCTGCAAATACCATCAGTACAGCATGAGGTCAATTGCACCTTCCATTTCACATACACACACACCAATTTATCCAAAGAAGTGAGCTTATGAAAAATAAAAACGAGTTAGTCTTAAAGGTGCTGCAAGACTTCTGATTTCTCTAGTACATTCAGAAAATGTCATTTTGAATCATTCTAAGTAATCCTGTGTCCCTGTTTCAGTGCTGCAAAATCTGAGCCTGCAACCAAAGAATGATCCAAAAGTATATTAATGTCCACACATACAGCAAAATGAGTGATGCACAACACGGGAATGTGCAAATATGCCCTTGTTTTCAAGGAACCTTTGACCTTTCAAGTGTTTTGGATCTCTACCACAAGTCCTTACCACCAACAGTGTTTGTTGAGGCTTCTGGAAGGTGAAGTCCAAAACATCCGAAGGGCCAAGTGTTCATCACTCTTATTTTATATTTGAATTGGGCCGACCACCAGATGACAAAGGCTATCCTGCAATAACAATACTGGTCTTTAAAAACCCGCTTTACAAACAAAAGTAGATGTCATACTAGGGCTTGGAAAAGGGAGCTGGTCCTTTTGCTTTTTACTATACAAAGAAAAGAAATCACAGACGTGGCTGCAAGTAATTGGTCAGACAGTGGCCACAGGACTAACACAGGACCAGCACCACATTAATTGGCTATTTCTGTGGTTTTCCTCCCACATGCAGTAGTAAGTAAAGATAGGCATGAAATGCCACTTCAGCGGTATATGCCGGGTTGTCCTTCAGATGAACGGGTGTTCGGTGGTTCCAAGCCCCACCTCCTCCTGTGGGTGCCCACTCAGAGCTAGCATTCTAGCTTCCCTGCCCCACTTCCTCTGGGTGCTCCCTCTGAGTAGGTGGGGCTGGGAAGTGCCACTATAACCATCTGTTTGTCTGAAGGCCGAACCAGTATAACCAGCAGTTTGTGTCCATCTCTAGTAATAAGCAACAGGACTCTTGTTAATTATGCGCCAACAAGTCAGAAATCACTGACAGCATCCCTAATAGGGCTTTTAAGATAAGTGGGATATTTAAGTTGTTTCACCAGTTTCCCTTCCTAGTGGGTTTCCATAGCCAAACGGATTTCAACTCTATCCACTACACCTTTATTTTTTTTTAAAAAAGCAATTCATCACTTGTTATTTGTGGTTATTGGCTTCAAGCCAATATGTTGGTGTAACTCGTTACTCCCTATATAGAGCAATATGTTAATTTTTTATTTGTTGATGTATCTGTTTATTTAAAATATGCCAGAATATACAAAAATGGTGAAAATCCCACCAAAAACATTTTAGAAATAGTAACTAAACATTACTCCTTACATTAGAAAGAAACTGTGTTATTCATGGCTAACTTATTTTTAAACAAATAAATTTAGGTTGCTCTCAATTTCCCAAAGAAGTAGCAGAATGTTCTTTCTAACATGTTGTTTCCAAGCTATCTTCAACATATAAGGATCTACTCAATATGCTGCCGTGCCTATTGTTTTCCCAATAACCCTTCCCAAAAGGTGTCTGGGGAGGGATTATATTCCCAATCACAAAATACAGATAAGATTACATTCCTTGTTAGCAGGAATGCAAATTTGGTGTTTTAAAAAAAACAACACACCATACCTCCCATAGTTTATGAAAATAGCTGGCTGGTAAACAATGCATTAGAACACATTTCTTCACTGAAGCTCATTTTGGTACCTAGCAAAGGGGTTTTCCATGCCCACATCCTGCTTTGCCACAGAATGCAAGACTGAACTGATTTGCTTGTTTCCAAATGAGATAGTCAAATGCATTAGGGAGCCACCTTGGGATGTTTCTATAGCAACTGGCGCAGTGAATTCAAACCAAGAAGCACTCAGGAAAAGTAAAAAGAGAACATCTAGTCTAGTTGTTCAGCCATCAAAGCTTACATTCAAGGGCTCCTCCAGTCATAAAGCTCACCAGCTGTTCTTCCACCGATTATTACCTCTCACTAAAACATACCTCATACCCAAGGATAGTGAAAGATGCAAGAACGGGATTGGGAAAGGACTACACTTGCAGCCCCAAAATTCTTTGGAGAAAGAATCAGACAGAAATCTCATCATTAAATGCAACACAACTTGAATTTCTGTTGCTGTTAACATAATCTGTGCCATAAATGAGATCTATGACACACAGTGAAACAACTGTCTGAAAATTGAGATTTAATTGAATTAATTTTCAGACAGTCCCTTTAATGTGCAGATCTCATTTTTAGTCATTTGCTGTCTTGGGTATAGGTATGTTTACTCAAGGCAGCACATCTTTAGCTCAGAAATAATAGGGTTTTGCTGTAGGGGAAAGGAGTAGCCAGGAAGATGCTAGATACTGTCTTCTTTCTAAAGGAGCACTATCACACTTGAGCGCTTCCATGGGGAAGTGCTGAGGCACGAAAGAATTGCAAATATTTGTTGACATCAACTGTAAAAAGTTCACAAGATTGCTCTGCAGGGGAGTTACATAATCTTATCGAAAGGGTTGATATAAGTCAGGGACAATCTGATGGCACACAGTTGTTATTGTTACTATTGTGGGTTGTAGACTGCTTCTTCAGATGAATGCAAAACAGCCATTATAAATAGACATTTGCCCTTCATTGTGTAACAATATATAACATTTTATATACCATTCATTTAATGGGGCCTTGTGAGGTCCTTTCTCTGCTTGACATAATTCCTTTACACTTTAATCAATTTTATTGGGCTTTGTTGTAATATTCAGTTTAACAACATCAAATAGCATATATAAATATTTATCATTTATTTAGCACAACAAATAAGCAAGTGGAAAAATGCACTTGCAGGAAGGCAAAATTCATAATGGCCTGCAAACTAATCTTGAGCCTTCCACCACCTCAAAAATAGTGCCCAGTGTAGCAGACCACTCTCAAGCCTCTACCAATCCAGGCCTATAAGAGTGCTCACTACCCCTCACCAAAAACTGCTGCCACCAACCTATCCTTTAAATCAAAAGGACAAGGGTTTCTCTCAAACATATAAAAGGTTTATTGATTACAAGAAATAAAAGTAGTAAATCACAGGTATAGAATCAAGTTGTCCATTACTGTTTATCAGACTCTAGCTCACACAGACTTTTTCCTCACTGACAGGCTCTTTCTCACTCTCAATCAATCTCTCTAATCACTCATCTTCCAAACTGATCTCTCCAGACTCCTCACACACACCTTGTATAACCCAGCTCCTCCCACTTCTGCACCACCCTCCGTCCTCTCATTGGCTGAGGTTCCCCTGCCCAGCTGTGACGGACAGGTGAGAGCAGAGCTGAATGCCACACCCAGTTTCCTGGAATAAATTATGACCTTGGTGGTTGAGAAAAAAGATTTCCTGACCTTCCTTTTTGAACTGGCACACTGAGTTTTCAGCACACTTCTCCTACTAAATAATAAAACTGTTCGGCGCCTATAGAACTAACCACGTTTTCTCTAAGAAACCCACCTCATACACACACATTGAGTGGAATTGTGCCACTGCTTTTTTTTCCTGGCTCCTGTCTTCCATCTTTTTACATCTGCCTGCTGTGGGACAAATCTAGATTCCTCCTTGTTTCAAGAGGTCGAGAGGAAGGTAGGGAGTACTCCAAGAAGGACCATGGCAAGCTGAGGCTGCAGCTGATTTCAAAAGTTGCAGAGATGGGAACAGGCTACTGCCTGCTGCAAAGCTACAGTCCAAACTAAGGACTTGTCCAGACTCGCAACTAGCTCGATATATGGATCAATTTGGTTCAAATCAAATGACAGTGTCCACATGTGTTTCTACTCAGAGAGATCCATCCTGTCCCTTTAAGAACTGGTGTGCACCTTTTTTGCCACTGCACTACGGCATGCATTCTTTTTGGTACAATTCAGCACAATCCTAATTAGCTTGCTGGATAGCCTGTGGGGATGGTTATATCTATATTTCCCTAACTAATGCAGCACAATTCTAATACAGGGTAGGCTGATGCATTGCTATTTCAATAGGCCTCTTACTTTTTTAACAAAAAAAAGGGGAAGTCAACCCAGCTCCCTGAATAACACCTGAAAGAAAAGGCATGGAGGGTCTCTCAGTTCCACAGGCTCCACCCCTACAAGGCAGCACATCTCCAACAGAGCCATAACTGAGGAGAAAGGTATGGAAACCAAACCACTCCAAATCCCCTTGTTTAGACAAGCCCTAAGTCCCACTGCATAGACAAGGGTATAATCACACTGATAAAATCGGATTAGGGCTGATTTACCTATATAATATCTATGTTGTTTTATCATCTTGAAATGCCCTCCTGAACTTCTTTCAGACCACCTAAAGCCATCCCACATGCACAGAATAATAATATAATATAGTATGTATATAGCATTTCTTACCTGCATAATATCATTAGAAAAAGGACTTTGAAACCCCAGTTCAAGATGCACATCATTGGCTCCAAAAATCCTATTATTTCCTAAAAGAAAATGAAGCAAAGCCTTACTTCTGTAATACTATGAGAAATACAAGTCTCAGTTTTAACAGATTACCTGAAGATATCTAGGACATCTTCAAAAGCATCATTCGGAAACTGTACACCCTAATATACTCCGGCTAGAGTTCAGAGGAGAAGGGTCTGATCAGGTTTTAGAGTTTTGTCTTTTTATATCCAGCCCTTAAACACATGAGATATCATTTTATTTGAGTGACAACAGAAATATAGGTCCCATGCAATCATGCTAGCAATAAAAGTATACATTTGCCTTGCCAGCAGAGTGTAATCCTATTTCAGACAAGCTGGAAAACCTGGGTAGCTTCTCGCTCTGACAAAGAAATGTAATTCAGTGTAATTCAAAATCGCTCACCTTTAGGACCAGATCACATGTTAAGCTAAATGAGTACTTACCCCTCCAGACATGCAAGGTGCCCGAGAAATCAAACATACAAAGCTATGCTATGTAAAAATTCACCAGCTGCAAAACCAAAGCAACCTAATTTGCCCATTGAAGACTGAGCTATGTTCCTGTTTGAATAAAGAGAGAATGTGTTCCTCTTCAGGAACCATTGCTTCTAGATACGGAATCACTGGTTCATTTAGGGTGGCCCTTAAGTCCCATGGTCTTCCCTTTCTACAGGACTTTTTTCCTCTGTCAGTTCAGAAGCCGTAAACACTTCCATCAGCAAAAATGTGGGTTCCACTACAGGGATTTCAAGGTCCAAAATACTCAGTAGTGGTTTACCACTGCCGCCTTCTGCATAATATTAACAAAAGTTAGCCTAAATGTCACTGCCATTGTGAAAGATCTTCCACCAGTGTCACCTTCCTCTACTACTGCTGCACAGTAGCTGCCCTCCAGAAGTTTCTCTGACCCCATCACCATTGGAATTATCAATTCTCTTCTGCTGATGTAGCCTTTACTCTAGAGAGGGTGGATGCATCTTAGCCTGGTAGCTTAGCAGTGACCATTCCACCTTGGATGACTGTGCTAAAAGCAGAGACTCATAATAGAGTTTGGTCTCCTCCATAGCATTGCTCTCAGGTTCACTGACATACTCAACTCCCCTTACTGTGTTAAGGTGTACATCCAAGAGAAAGAGAAGGTCCTAGATCAAATCAAACCTGAACTCTCTCTAGATGCAGAAATGACAAAACTGAAGCAGTTGTACTTTGGACATCCCATGAGAAGACAGCGCTTGATGGAAAAGACAATGATGGGGAAAGCCGAAGGCAGGACTATTAATGATAAGACATTTTGGAGTCACTCATTCATTGCGTTGCCATTAAGAGGCAACCTGACAACACAAAACAACAGAGAAAGACAACGTCATTCCAATACTGTTGGACTGCAACTCGAATGACTCCTCACCAGTGGAAATGCTGGCTAAAACATATGACAGCTGATGTGCTTCAACATTTGGAAGGCCACTAATTCTTTCCCTCTGGTCTACTCTTTCTGTAACATCACCATTTTTGGCACTCATGTAACTGAGAAACACAAGTCTACATTGGGCTGGTATATTTAACTACCCAACTAATAATATGCATAGACTGACCAGCAACAAAAATATCCCAGATTTGATCACAATGGAAAAAAGGAACACACTGAAAGCTAAATAGTAGTAAAAAATAAGGCAGCATTGAAATAATTTGGAGCTATTTTAATCTGAAGGTCAAAAAATTTGGACCTGCTGCAGAAGGTCCTTTACTGCCAGGGTCTTATCACTGCCAAGCTGTTTTGATTGATCTTTTAACTTAAAGACTTCATCCCTTGCCACATTTATCCAAGTTGCGGGCAATCCTATACAATTTATAGCTAGAAGGAAGCCCTGAACAGTATACTGAGGCTTGCACATGCATGGGATTGCACTATTATCATTACATTTACATCTCACTTTCTTCCAGTGAGTTACAGGCAACATACATGGCTCTCCATATCCCCACTTTACATAAACCCTGTGAAGTAGGTCAAGGTGAGAGAGCATGGCTGGTTCAAGTCACCCATTGGGTTTTGCTGCCAAGTGGAGATTTGCACCCAGGCCTCCCAAGTCCTAGTGCAGCCTTCAAACCACTACACCACAATGATCCTCCAACCTCCCGTCAGTCTTCTGCACAAGTCAAGTACACTATGGTTTGTTCTGGGTTTGGTGGCTCAGGGCAAGAATCTGGTAGGATGTCTGCAGGCTTTTCCTACCTTTCATTAGATTGCTTAGACTTAAACAAGGCTATTGAGGAAAAGGGACTTGGCCTCGTGATACCTCATACATTGAAAGGCAAAGGACAAAATGGATGGCACCCACACATTTACCCACTGCATGCACAGAAGCTGCCCTGAAAGGCAATTATATCTGTGGGTAGGCTCTGGGGCCAATATAGCTCTGTCCTTCAATGCCTCACACCCCACCACTCCATACTCTTCTCTGAATCATGGCTGGCTGGGAATTTCTAGACCCACACATATATACCACAAGGCAGGGCAGGGTTCAGCTGCACCAATTATGAGGTACACATATAGAGACCTTATATAGGATCCTAGCCCTCTGATGAGCTGACAGCAGACCATAATTGTATTTCAGTTGGTAATATGGAACATATCAGAAAGTGCTTGGAAGAAAGAATTAGAACCTTTTCACAGCAGGTATTTATTTTATTAATTTATTTTATTGGCCTTCTACCCCACCCATCTAGATAGACCAAAGGTCTATTCTGGGCGGGTATTCATGCCATTACTCCTTAACAGGTATATCACTTGAATTAAAATTGTTTTGATTGCAGGACACAAAAGACAATCCTTGTATTTTCCAGACTAGTCCTGGACAGCTAGGATCTCCATTGAGCGTCCAGCTGCCAGTACTAGAATCCTCCCTCCAAATACCTGACTTTTAAAATCCTCAGCCTTTCCACATGTTTTTCTTAATTAGGTCATAAAGTCCCCTTCCACGAAAAAGAACAGAGAAGCAGGGAGGAAGCTCTGAGTTATCTGGGAAGGCAAGTTTCTGGAACACTGCCCTACTCCAAAATATTTGGCCGTCACTCTGGATTGAACTCTGACCTACAAGGAAGGAAGGAAGGAAGGAAGGAAGGAAGGAAGGAATGCAGTGTACTCTCGGTGGGCAGAGTTTTATAAAAATGTGCGGGTCGGTAGGCAAGGTAGATAGAAAAAGGAAGGAAGGAAGGAAGGAAGATCCCCTTAAAATGAAACGAAATAAAATAAAATCCCCTTATTCTGAGGCAAGGTTTTTATAGCTTCTAATTTGAAATGTGAGGAGATGAAGCCAAAGTATAATCCCTGAAAGGCTGAATAAATATATTTTGCTTGATTCTAAGAAATGTCACTGGAAGAACTGCTGGAAGTTAGGCTTTGCGACATTTCCACAAGGAAACACAGATACAAAAACCTTGTACTGTAATAGTCATATAGCTAATTTCTTCCTTGCCTGTAACAGTGGCTACCATTGTTGTTTTCTTATTCAGTTGAGGGGAGTGGGTGGGAAAGAAGAGTACAGTAGGGAGAAAAACTGAAGATATAAATATGTTATGTTGGCTAATTATGGTAACAACAGGTAGAACTGAGAGAGATGTTCTAGTAGCAAAGGAGTGGGGGGGGGATAAACCCAGCAGGCATCCAGACTAACTGGACTTCCAGCTCCAACTGCCAGATTCACTCTCTGAATATAACTAATTGATGAGAGCAAGCCAGAAGTCATGTCTGCTTTCCGTTTGGAGCTGCAGTTTTGCTGCCTTCATTTGGCTGACAAGTTTGCTCCTGGCATGCCAGTCAGCCAATTTCTAATTTCTAAAAGCACTTGAAATCTTGCCTACCAAATGCACAGCTCAGAAAGACAGCTGAGACATACATGGGCAAGGGGGCGAGGGAGGCTCTGTTTAGCTGGGCATTCTTGGACAGAACATGACCATCCTTCAGCCTCTCCGCTGGGGCAGAATGGTATTCCTTGTGACCTGCTTACTTGACCACTACTATCTACACTAATGCTACTGACTGTGTTATTTATTTGAAGAAGCAGGTGTAGTTTTTTTAAAAAGTAAGATTTGCTCTAGGGCCCAGAATCTAGGCAGTAGCTACTGTGCCATTTCCAGAAAACAAGTAAACAGGTAGCAACCTTGAAAGGAAGCAGTAATGAAGTTAATACATGGAGGCTTCTGCCTGGAGTTCTAGGTAACCGAGGATGAAAATACAGATAATCCTGCATATGTGTACATGAGAGGGTGAAAGCAGAATATAAGGAGATGCCTGCTTCACAGTTAGAGGGCAATAAAACATCCTCTCTCCTAATAAATATTGCTTCAAGGCTTTTATGTTTGCACACTCAAACAAAGCTAGTTTCTAATTGCAATTAGTTTCTGAGAGACAGAACTAGAGAGAGAGAGAAAGAGCACTTTGATGAATGTGAAACAGCCAGGTCCAAGACCAAACATTCTGCAACCAAGGCCAAGATGCCTTCCACCTGCTCCCAGTTCAACACAGAGAATCTTTATTGCAACATTAGCAAAGCAAGCAGCACCAAGCAGTAGCTAAATTAACATGTGGATTCAGCACCTGAATAATAGAATAGCTCAGTGAGTTAGGTATCAGGCTGCAGAGCCAGAGGTTAAGAGTTTGATTCCCTACTGTGCATCCCAGGACAAGAGCCAGTCTGTGTAGTGTTGGACAAGCTGCACAATACCAGGGTGCCCTCAGGAAAAGACTGCTACTTCTGAGTACTCTCTGCTTAGAAAACCCTGAAAAGGTTTACCACTCTCTACTTAGAAAACCCTGAAAAGGTTTACAAAAAGTCAGAAGCAACTTGGCAGCACATCAGGATGACCAATAATTTTATTATAGTAAAGAATACCTCTGGATACAAAAAGCACATCTACATTTGTTATTGTATGAACATTAGTAATACACTGAGATAGAAAAGATAAAAGGAACCCTGATTCCAACTAAGGTGGAGAAGACAGGAGTCATGGCTGTCTCC